TTCATATAATACTATATATCTTATATAATTTTGTAAATAGTTTTAAAATTCTTTTCTGTATACTTTTCGCACGCCCCTCGTGGAAATCAGCTTCGGTTGACGGGGTCAGCGTGTTTAAATAAAGTTTATCTATCTATCTATCATCACTTGTCAGCAGCCTTGTAGGACATGATTGTGAGACCTGTAATGCACGAAAGTACGTCATCATACATGGCTATACAGCCTCGTTTTCGTAATTGTACAGCCTCGTTTTCCTAATTTTACTGATGTCAGATACATGAAAACAGGCTCTATAGCCAAAGTGTTGTACTTTCTGGAAGGGTGTACTGTATTACCCCATCTTTATAGGAAGAAACAGGGTCTTAGCTAGGATTTTGTGTCGAGTGTTTTAATTTAAATTTCTACAGTCTGTGTGTGTCAATTATCCAGAATAGCCAAAAACACAGTTCGAAGTTGCTATGCTTTACAACTAAGTACAAAGTAAGCATATAGTCTCAAATTTTGAACTGCTGGCTAGGGCATTTTTTAACTCTGATATGGTTCCGATTATGTGTACACAGTGTGTTATTAGACTTATTAATAAGTGATTCCAGCTATGGACAAAATTTTGATCTAGTTGGATTTCGTTCTTCTTGTCTAGATCAAAATTTCGTCCATAACTGGAATCACCCATTGGCCCAGTGCAACTTCATATCAGTTTTACTGCATTTCATACTTTTAACCTGAATTACAGTCGATTTCACAAAACGTTTGCCAAAATGTTCCAAACTTCGTTCCAAAGTTCGCAAAGTTCGTTTCGAAGTTCAACAGTGAAATTCACAAGCCGGTTTGTAAACAAGACCTCTGATTGGTCCATGAATTGAAAAAAGCCAATCAAATGCTTATTTTACAAACCGGCTTGTGAACTTGGAAACTTCAAACTTTGGAACTTCGAAATGAACTTGCAAACTTTGAAATGAAGTTCGAGATATTTTGGCAAAGGTTACGTGAAATCGACTGTAATATGTTCCTTGAAGTTTTGATTCACCCCTTCCGTCTACAGCAGACCCCGGTCTTTGTTTCACACTGGCAGTCTAGTTCTGAGATAGATGTAGTAGACCTATACACCAGATCGAATCTGCTCTCAATCTTATATCCTTATTTACAGTAACGTAAAAAAACTAACAGAAATCAGGCCTCTTTTTAATCAAAATATATCAGTAGCCGCTCACCGCTCGCTATTCGAGATCGACTTGTGGGCAAGTCTACAGTAGCCCATACGATAATGCTTTGTTACCAGATCTTGGCTATAATTTGTTTATGCTGGATACATTTCATTTGATGCAGGTGTTCCAGTATGTGCCAGTGAATGTGACGCTTGGTATGAAGCATGCAAAAGTGACCGGATTTGTGTGGAAAACGTCCTCGAAGATTACAACCAGACTGAAAATTATGTAAAGAAATGCCCTGGTGGCATTCACAAGTGTGTGAACTATACCACAATGTATGGAAGTGGCGAAAATCTTTGTAATAAGATGTGGGGGAGCTCGTATAAGTATGTTAAAAAGAATGGAAATAATTGTATGAAGTTCTGGTTTACTCCTGGTTCAGAAAATCCCAATGCTGACGTTTTGAAAGAAGTCGTTGGTAGCGCGCCTGTCAGTGTCCTTTCTAGCCAGCTTCTTCTGGCTGTGGTTTACGCTGTGATGGTGGTATTCATCTGGTGATTGAATAACCTGCACAGGATACCAACTGGGGTCCATGCATGGAGACAATTGATCACCATCCATAGACTTAACTCCTAATCAGCTGTATCTATTACTGTCGTTCCAATTGAAGTGTTGCTCAAATATTGATTCAATACATTACCTCGGGCTGACCAATTCATTTGATCAAGTTCCTCGAGATATTCATACACTTCCTGTGAAAGAGCCAATTCCAAGTATTTGATCATTTCTGGTC